GGGGGGTCGTCCACACTCCACTAGTGATGGCTCTACCTCCATCTGTTTTATGTCATTTGAGTTCTGTCTAAAATTTTTCTTTAAAAACCAAATTTGGAAACCACTGCTTTGGTTAACAGCACACAATTTTCCAACGTCAACTAGGCTTGCAAATATCAGAAGGCTGCAGATCTGTCCCTGACACGCACGCCCCGTGGCAAACACTACAGTTTCTGTTCTATGAGCTTACTGTCTGAATCAAAATAAAAGCGAAAGAAAGAGCTTGGCAGGACAGCTCAATTTTCATCCCTGTCTTTGCACAGTAGGAACTGTTTTTAAAGCTCTGGGCATTCATACCTGTGCTGCTTTTCACTAGCCTGCAGGACAGACAGCAAAGATTTAGATGAACCCGAATAAAAGCAAAGCTCAAGCAGTCAGGACTGGAAAGTGGGGTCTGAAAACATAAAGTGCACCTGGCACTGAGGAATCGCGATCCCCCTCTACTGCCAACCCCCTCTGCCAGGTACTCAAGGAGGAAGGTGAGGGACGCCCCCAACTCCTCAGGCTCTTCAGCCCTGTTCAATTCTCCTGAGGAGTGAGAGCCCCTGAAACACCATTCAGCACTCTCGAGAAACTTTCACAAATAATTTAAAAAATCAAAATGTAGGTTCAGAAATATAAATAAGGATTCAGAATTTAAGCTAAAATGACTCCTCTGAGAAGTGGATTTTGCTTTCACTTCCATTAAAAGCTATGAATCTCAGCACTGTCTCTGTCAAAGCTAAGGGATCTATCACCAGCCCCTGAGGCTGGGTTAGTATGACTTATCAAAGAGGGAGTCTGCAGACACCTCTTCTCAAGACACTTTCAGGCTACAATCTGTAAATTAATCATGCTTGTTTCCACGGGCTGACTTTTCTGTTGGACTCCCTCCACTTCCTCTCGGCCCAGTGTATCACCATTAACCCAGCAGAGCATATCATTTAAAGTCTCAGTGGTATATTGCTTGGGTTCAATTCCCAATTCCCCACTTTACTAGTTGTATAATCTCAGGCAAATTATTTAAAAAAATCTCTCTATGCCTCAGTTTCTTTATCTGTAAAATGGAGATAATGTCAGAATCACCTCATGGAGCTCTTATAAAAAATTAAATGAGATAAGGCATGCAAAGAGCTGATCAGGGTGGTCAGAGTAAGCATTTAATGGAGTTGGGTCTTATTATTAATAGCTATGGCTACAGATTAGCTTTGAGGCCCACAGAGTTTAAGAACTGAGAAATCGGAGATGCTAACGCGAAACTGTTTTGAGAACACATCTGAGTTTCACCAATGGTATTACATTGCTAGTTAAGACCTAAGTGTTTAAAAAGTGTGAACAACTATTACAGAAATAAGCAGCAAGACGAATCTACACTCTCACTAAGTTATTCTGGTCAAGGTTCGAAGTTCCAGTATCCTACATTTTGTAAGTCCGCAAATCCAAACTTCTCAAGCACCATAATGAACCATGAATCACAGTTACACTACAGAGAAAGGTCATTATAGAGAATACCTTTCCAGGTATTTGCTTCCAATGGCTGTGTTTTCCCATAACCTGTCCATCACAAGCTCTGTCATCTACCCTCCACGTCGCTGCTTGTCACAACTCTCCCTTGTCCCCTTCCTAAAATAGACTGCAGGGCTGTGGCCCCCACCACGGAGACCCACGCTAGCCAGAAGGTGACCTTGCTGGTTCCCGGAACTGTTACTACACTCATATAACACATGTAAATGTCACACCCGTCAGTGGAACAGGACTGCAGTGAGAGTGGATTCGTTCTCATGAAAATGAAGGAGGATGCTTCATAAAGACCCAATAAAAGGAAACCACTAAAAACAAGTTTGCTGTAGATCAGGTGTGGTCAAAGCCTAAAAGATTCTACACTCATTGTTTAGCAAATGTCACAAGTGTTCTCGCTATTGATTACAAAAACAAACAAAAAAACACACACAAAACAGGTGTGGCTTATAAAAGGACAGCACTTCAGTAATCAATGGCCCACGCTCAAAGCAGAAGCCTCAATGCTGCATAAAACTGGCAAATGAGTGTACTTTTACATGTTTTATGTTGAATTAAAATGCTTAAGGTAAATGTTTAAATGATTCTTCTGTGAGTACCTGTTTTAACTGACTTTTAAAATTAACTGAACTATCTCCAGACATCTATCAGAGAGAGAATTGCTACTACATTAAAATAGTTTATAACTAAGTTTACAACAAAAGTTTTTCTACTGAATTGAAACTATAAACTAAACATTTTTTCATGTTAAAGCTGCACACAGAAAACTGTTAAAATATTTTATAACAGACAGAATGTTTAAGCAAATTATACAGAAAATAAAGTCAAGGGGAGGCTGAACATTGTCAAGAAACTTTGTTCTGTTTTGCTGGCCTCATTTGGCTTCCTCTGACTGAGAAGCAGCTCAGCATTTACCTAGGAAGTGTGGGTAAATTGTACTAACTTTAGAGATTCTACGAAAATGAAATAGTAAGAATATAAAACTCAAAGGCTGAGGAACTAGAACGTAATAGGAAAAACATCACAGTAGATGATGTGTGATGTTTTTAGCACAAAATCAATCAAAATCCACCTACCTGTTTTTGATGTGGTAATATATTGCGAGAGCTACACTGTAAAATAAAATGCAGGAGTTCAATGTTTCATAAGCACATTCAAGATGTTATATATTATCTGGCATCAGTCTGACCATAAATATTTAAAATTTAAGTAAAATGACCCATCTGAACAGCCCCACTTAATTCACAATGCTGATTAAGAAAATGCATTCTTCAAAGTAAATCAATCAGGTACTTATTCTGAGCAATTATTAAATCTTTTCCAGAAACACCAAAACTTCAAGTGATATTCAGAAACAAATTTCTCTTTCTATCTGAAATCTTAAGCTTTCTTCACTTTAAAATATAGGCACTATGTAAAAAATAGGTGGTGAAATTAAACACCTCTAGAAGTCTCCAACTCAGCACCTGCTGTTTTAGAAAATTAGTGGTTTCTTTATAACTACCATCAAAATGTGAATATTACCCACAGTGGTTTGCCATTTTTTCTTTTAAATCAATAACCTCTTGGAAATCTGCCTAATTTATTCATTCATTTGCTGAAATGGTAGTGTAACTCTTATTTGTAATACCTTAAAATTTTATTTTACATTTTAAAAGATCTGAATTTAATGAAGACATTCCTATCCCCTGAATTTTCTTCAAATAATGTTTTTCTGATTATAAAATGTATTACATTCAGATTGAAGAAATTTTTGGAAAATAAAAAAAGTATACAGAAAAATAATTCCTCTGCCCAAAGATTATTACTATCAGCTTAAGATAGAGATATTTATTCGTATCTACCTAAAGCAAACAGGTTTGCATCCCACTTTTATCCTCATTAACATTTTTCTTACCATTAAAGTGTTATTCAAAAACGTGACTTTAAATGGCTAACTATATTCCATTACACTGTTGAATAATTTATTAACCATCCCCCCAATACTGAACATTTATTTTTAATATTTTTGCAATTATGATTAACACCATACTGAATATACCCACAGATAAATATTTGTGTAACCTATGACTATATTATTTCCATAAGAAAACATCCTGTACTTGGAATTACTTGCTCTAAGGTCATTAATAACTGTAAGGCTCCCCACATATACATCCCAGTATCTTTGCAGAAAAGCTGTACCAGTGTACTTCCTCACCAGTGTCTGTCTCACCTCCCCTTCACCAACACTCACCTTGAATGTTTTGGAAAAATGTTCTCCAACTGGACAGGTTAAAAAGTGTAACCGTTTTCAATTGGAGTTTCTTTGATCACCTGTCAAGTTGGCAGGGTTATTCGTGTTGACTGCCCAATTTTTTTTATTATTTCCTCATGTGCAAACTGTCTAGATCCTTCCACAATTTTTGTTTTACTTTAAAATGTATTGAGGAGGTCAAAAATTTATTTCTTAAGCTTCTAAGAACATAGCTAACTGGCTGCATCAGATTGTGTTCTCAGAGCACAGAAACTGCCATCCAGGGCACCAACATGGAGGTAGAGGGCTGGGTCCCAAACACCTCAGCTCACTCGGCGGCGGCACTCACTCAGAGACCTGGGCATGCACGCTGGACTCTGAGTAGCTCAGATGTTCACCCACAACTTAACATGACAATAGCTCATCTCACTCTATCAAAAGAAAGCATCTTCTTCTAAATCTCTCTTTCCAGATCTATTAATTCAAATGATTTCAGCTAAGTGTTCAAAGTATCCCTGAGCAAATGTAATATATTCTCTTCCTCCTAACATCTTGAAAAGCATCTAAGCTGATGAAGGAAAGTGGGTGAAGGGATTTCAGAAGTTTAAAAAATAATGGTACAGTTTTCAAAGTGCCTTCACGTACCTTAAAAGCCCTGCAATGGGAAATAATAAATGTTACTGATTCTATTTTATACATAAGAAAATTCAGGTAGAGACACTAGATGTCGGGATTTCCGACTTGTATCGTGGTTTTATGCCCTTTCATTCTATAATGCTGCCTCTGGAAAAAAGGAAGAAAGTACTGTTTTATTCATTTAACAGTTCTGCTGTGATGATTAAATTGAATGTTTCATATGATTGGGTTTGGTATAGTGATTACTTTAATTGCTTTGACTGATTGAGAAAAATATGGTCCCTGCTTCCCCTGTGAGGGAGCACATCACAGGAAAAACACCACTGCACTGAACTCAGACCCAGCTGGGTTTAAAACGTGGCTCCTTCATCAATTAGAGTTTATCCACCTCTCAGGGCCTTCAATTCCTCATCTAAAAAATTACAATTCAACCCACATCACAGAGTGGTTATTACAATCAAATGAAGTGTATAAAAGCAGGATCTCAAATATAAAGTTCTAAAGCAAAGTTATTATTATTGTTGTTGTTGCCCTATGAATAATTCCACCTCAAGAGGTCTTCCGGCTTCTGTAGATGGAGTGAAGGTCTTCGGGGCCCCAAGGTTTACTGTCTCCCAGATCTCCAGAGCTGAAAGCAAGCTTGGACATTATCATGACTCAGGCCTCCATAAAACACAGTGCCAGTCTGTAGGCCAATGTCCAATCAAGATCGTACCCCGGAAAGTGAGAAAACCAAGCTGAGGATGCACGTGTTGGGCCCAGCTCCACAGGCCGGTTCAGTCGGTCACTGTGAAAGAAGTGACTGCCGGGGGCAAAGGACAGTCAGATGAAAACAGAATCAATTCCAGGCTTCAGGCTTTACTCCAAATGCCCAGCTTTGGAGGCCTGCTTAGTCTGCCATGTCCTCAGAAAATGGTGAGGTCACCCAGGACAGGCTGACCAGAGGGTTAGCTCAACTGCCCTTGCTGCAGAGCCAGGAGGGAAGGAGAGCTGGGAATGAAGTAATGCTATTTTCTTGATCAGGAAAACAAAACATGTTTCTGACCGCGGGCACTACCCTCGCTGTACTTCTCACCTAGAGCTAAGTCAGAGGTGCCGGGTTCTGGCGGGTGTACGAAGCTGCTCTCGACCCTCAGGCCCGGGGCCGTGGATGGTGTGGGCAGCTGCGAGCGGCCCTCACCGCCCTCCCCCCGTCCTCTGAGCACCATCCCTGTGCTCACACAGGATTCGGGGCCTGGGTCGGTTACAGGGGCACGGGGGTGGGTGGCAAACTCTAAATTCACACCACAGCTATTGGCCTTCAGGAGAAAGATGGGAAAATCAAGTTCTCAAAGATATTATGCCTGTGAAAAAAATGAGCACAGAATCGTGCCCAAATGTGTCACACTGCTGCTGCTTCTCTTTGACAGTTAGAGCCACTCTCAACCCTTCACCCATTCCTGAACCAGAATTTGTAAATGTTTATTCCTTTTGGCAATCCCCAATTTACAGAAGGGTTTTCTTTTCTTTTCTTGTTCTTCTTTTTTTAATATGAATTTTATTTCAGAGTACTTTTCAACTCCTGGATTTCCATTTGGTTTTTCTGTAACCTTTCCCCCCCACCCCAACCCCAGCCGCATCACGTGGTTTGCAGGATCTGTTCCACAACCAGGGATTGAACCTGGGCCACAGCAGTGAAAGCCTGGAATCCTAATCGCTAGGCCACCAAGGAACTCCCCAGAAGGGTTTTCTTCTAAAATTAGCTTAGAAAGCTATTGTTAGAACCCAGAGCATTTTCTCCAAGGTCCTACATGGTTATCAGGAGGCAAGTTCAGCCCACGAATGCTCACTCTGCCCACAGGAAGCTGAACTACTGATTAATGAGTTTGTATCAATTTTAACATCTTGGGACAGGAGGTCACAAGGGCCTTGGCAGGTGTAGGATACGGTTAGGCAGAACTTTAGAATAGGAGGGCCTTCAGACTTCCAATCTCCCTGCCCTTCATGACATTCGTTCCCCTCATGCTGTCAGAGGCCCTGGCTGAAGTTACCCAGGCCAGCTAACACCTCAAAATGACCAGAACCCGGTCACGTGTGACATACGGGAATTTACAGGGAAGGATTCTGATGGTATTGCTACAATTAGGGCCCACCCTACCCAGCTCCCAGGTCCAAAATGTACATGTTTTAAAACGGCACGTTTTAAAACAAATAAGCGACTGACTGAAGGCATCTCAAATCCGGGTGGTGTGGAGAAGCGTCCTCTGGACCAGGGAAGCCACAGCATCCACACTGGACGCTTCCTCTCGGCACTCAGCCATCATCACTGCCCCAGCTGTCCAGCTTCTTTTCCTCCCAGTATTAACCACAGGTTAAGCTTTCAAGGGAACGCGAAGGCAGTTGTCCACTGACACCAGGGGTTCTCGGCCTTGGCCACCTATGAGAATCTCCCGGAGGGGTTGACATTCCAGATCCTGGCCAGACGTCACGCCTCAGTGGGGCTCTAAGCCCTCAGGGGCCTTGTGGGTGTGGTGAGCTGGAACCACTGATTCACAGACCACACTTGTGACTGCGGAGCCTGTACCTCCCAGACTCCACACTGAAATATCAAATTGTCACCCAGATCTCCTACTGGGCCCCGGAGTGTCTGCGTCACAACGAGTGGCAGTGTGAAGTCATTCCCAGGTGAAGCACTGAGCAACAGAGTCCGAGCCCCTGGAATCCCCCACAGCTCCCGCCAGTCCTGGAGGCAGGGTCCCAGGCCCCAGGGAGGCGGGGCTCTAGGGCTCGAGCGGGTGCCAGGTGCCAGGTCTCCAGGCTCCTGCTTCCCGCCCCAGCACCTCCCAGACCCTGGCACAGAGCCCAGCCCCAGGGTAGGGCAGCTCGGCCAAGGGCAAGGCGGTGGAGCGAGGGCACATGCCGGCTCCCAGCCGTGAGCGCCCACTGTGGGGTGATGCCCACCGGTCCCTCAACCACCAACGGAAGGAGGGACGAAGCTTCGTTCCCGTTTAGATCTTAGAAACAAGCAACCCATAGGGGAGAAGGCGGCCTCCCTCTAGGCGGGCCCACCTCCCATCTTCCGCCTGGAGGGGGCACCGTCCCCACTGCTTGGCAGCCTGACTGCCATGTGTGGGCACACGCAGAACACGGCTCTGAGGCCTGGACGCCTGGCCCACTGGAACACAAGAAGTCTTCTTATTTAGAAACACAAACACTCACCGCACATGCTAACGTGGACTGCTGTTAAATGTGGACTCTTCTTAAATGAGTACAGAGGCAAAATATCCCAGGTTTTTCATAGCTGAGCCAAAGGCCACAGACCCCAGCACCTTTATCAAGGCTTCCTACCACAATGCTAGTGGGAACATTTCAGGAAAAACCAGCATTCCGTCCCTCACACCTCCCCCTTGAAAATAAGAGAAATGAAGCCCCAAAGGGAAAAGATTTTATCCGAAGACCGCCCCCGCTTTCCTCCCTTAAGTCCCATTTTACAGTAAGAGACCAGAGCAAAGGGGCTCACCCCACCCTCCCTGCTAGGGAGACAGCCAAGGTCAGAGCCCCACTCTCCATGCTCCAGGCAAATACACTTCCACGGTGCCAGGCCTGCTTTCTACTGCAACCCCACATCAAAGTGGGACCCATTACATTTTGAAGGTAAAATACTAGCAGACTTACGCCAATAAGAAGTGGGAAAGTAGAAAGTATGCACAAAAATCAAAAATATGCTTTAACCTACATTTAAAATCACTGAAAAATTGGGCCTTTTTATGTAAATGGTAATATACACAAATATTCTGAACACCCCACATTTTAACTCCCAAAATCACTTTTTAAAAAGACTTCTTGAATATGGCCTCCCCCTGCCCAATCTTACCACTCCCAGACCCCACAACCAACCAGTTAGCCATCAGGTTAAGGAAGAGAAAAGACATTCAGTTAAGGAAAAATGTGTATACCCACCATTTAATTGTATACTTGAGGTTTGGTTGACTGACTGTGCTATCATCTAGGAAAATAGTCGAGCAGGAGCTGTATTTCCTTGCTATTTGTCCTGGAGGATGCTAAAAAACAATGGCAACAAGACAAGGACAATTAAACAGGGCTCAAAATTCTTCCAAGGAACATCATCCCCTTCACCTTGAGACCAGCCTATAGAGGAAAAGTGTCTCGGTGAGAAATGTTAACACTAACCAGCAAGAACAGTACAAACCCACTTCCTTCCTACAATGAAATTCCATGTTCTTCCACAAAGCAAAGTCACCACCACCACTCCTGGCCCCCCACCTCCATCAGAACAGTACACTCTCGCAATCGAGCATCAAAGCGTGTGCTGCAGAGTCCGTAAAATCACCGAGAAACAAGAAGTATGTGCTCATCACACCAACGAAAGCCCCTGCTGAAGGCGGCATCCTGGTTTGAGGCACCAGGATCAAGACAAGAGTCCACTGCACCCATTTTCTCTATTCTTGGGATACAGTCGATTTGGGGACCATGGAAAATGCAGCCAATGTTCATTTAGAATCTCCTAATCTTGAATTTCAGGAGGTGAAGATAAAAATAGGTGAAAGTTCTCCGATGCTTTTGAAAATACTACCAATGTATAAGCTTCAGGTAGGGTGCCTGTGCAGTCTCATGCCTGGTTCTTTCACAGCTACATAAATTTTGAGCTCTTTGGAAAACTTCAGAACTAAGATCTACTTCTGAAATATACTGTTAAAGAACAAAGAATTTAAAGAATTTAAATTACACTCGGATGACATCTAACTCTGAATAGTAAGTCGATTTTTGGCAATTATGTGGGCAATATGATTAGTAGACATCAATCTGGATAATTCTAGCTCAAAGCATGTTAGAAAAAAAATAATAAAATCATCCAAACAAGTCTCTACTTGCCTGGTGTTATGCTGACAATCTCAGTGTCATTTTCAGCAACCAAAAAAGATAATCCCTTAAGGATAACAACACTGCCTGCCTCACGTGCCCACCCCCAACAAAGCCCTCAGTATCCATGGTTTATGAACATGAAGGGAGCTTTAAAGCCCATCAGAGACCAAATGCCCTGTTCGATACTTTTAACATTTATTCCTTATTTAATAAGGTTTCCCGGGACTTCCCTGGCGGTGCAGTGGTTAAGAGTCTGTCTGCCAATGCGGAGAACACGGGTTCGAGCCCTGGTCCGGAAAGATCCGACATGCCGTGGAGCGACTAAGCCCGTGTGCCACAACTACTGAGCCTGCGCACCACAACTACTGGGCCCACGAGCCACAACTACTGAAGCCTGCATGCCTAGAGCCCGTGCTCCACAACAAGAGAAGCCACCACAATGAGAAGCCCACGCACCGCAAGGAAGAGTAGCCCCTGCTCACCACAGCTAGAGAAAGCCCACGTGCAGCAACGAAGACCCAACGCAGCCAAAAATAAATAAATTTAAAAAAAAAAAAAAAAAAAAAAAAAAAGAGCATATCTCCCAAAGAGGCAAAAGCAACGTTTAGAGTTTTTAAAATATCAGTTCCTGGATCACACTCACTTCATTCCTTGACTTCTATGACTTAATACTCATGAAAAAACTATATCCATACTTAAAACACTGGAAGGACTTTCATCAGTTTTGCTATTGAACTTGGAAAAGTATACAAAATTTACCTATAAATCCAATGAGCAATAACAATAATAACATCAACATAGTCAGCTGTTGCTAAAATCAGTTTGCAGATCACCTTCCCGTTCAGTCTACCACGTGAACAGGTAGACAGGAGTCATTCTACGAGATCGGAGAACTAAAACGTCAAGGCTTTTTCAAGGCCCCCCATTTATCAGGTGGCTTGAACAAGATTCTTTTGGCTCCAAGTCCAGCTAACAATGTGACTCTTGCTTAACTGATAAATAACACTCTCTAGTTACTTTATTCCTTCACAAAGTTTTTACAGCTATCACCTGTCTCAATATTAAGACAAATACTGTGATTGTTTTGCTGAGGGTAAGGGAGGCTGGCCATTCAACTCCTGATTCATTCTGTTTTAATATCTTTTTTTTTTTCCCTTTTAACTTAGAATGGTCAATTCACTTTAGGCATGCTATCGTCGAGGGGAGGAGGATACTGCAGAAAAATTAGGCTGAAGCAAAAGGCATGAGTTTCCCCTAAGTTTCCGGGGGGTTGATTCCGGACTCCCAGCCACCTACAATGCCACCCACAATTTATAATCAGAGACTTTCACATTTTAATTAAAAGATTTATTAATTAGCTAACTAAAACGTCAGCAAATTTTAAATAAACTACAAACTTTAAATAAAGCCCTTTACACAAGCCTTTCTAAAATACCTAAGCATCTCTATTGTAATGCATTAAATTTTCCTATAACTGTTGATCTAATTACATCTAAAACACAGGTGCTGATTAGAATATTCATCTTTATAATTTGCCCTAGCTCGGCTTACTGTTCAAAGTCCCTCAAGGGGTTTATCCTCAAATGGTTTCAAGCTTCAAAATCTATAATAATTCTTTTAGAAGCAGCCTCCTTTTACTTTTTAAGTCTCTCTCAGCAAGTCCACAGCCAGGGAAAGGCCCCCTCTTTTCCAGCCTGGGGTTCCTTCTCTACTGCCCTCTCCCTGGGCGACTGTTCCCAAAGTCAGCTCCTTTCACTTGCTAACATGTGCTGCTGGCTAACGTGTTTCTGGAGCCAGAAAACCCTTGTTTCTCTCCACCTGGTGGAAGTTATTTCCCTGTCGTGATCATCTTCCCTCACCTCTCCTTAAATGGCTTACCTATGGCCACTGCTTTTTAGCAAATAGCAGCCTCTTTGTAGATTATCTTAGCAACATGTACTAAGCAGGTTATTCAGACACTTAAAGGAGAAATTAAAGAAACAACGTCCCTCACAATAAAGCAAATAAAAACCAAGAAGGTTTTATAAATAAGGGCAAAGTATAACGGTCATTCCAGAGTTCAACAACAAATTAAATTACAAATTTTAGTTGGGGCCCAAATTCAGAAAAGAGTGTTCCCTCTGACTTCAGATAAATAAGCTAAAAAACTTCTGTCCAGGTGGGGCTTGGCGGGACCATCTGAGCAGCACAGAGGAGAGCTGGGAGGGCAGCTCTGGAGCCAGCCCCCTGGGCCTCAGTACTGGCTCCACCGCTCATCTGGCTGATTCTTCGTGCCTCATTTTCCTCATCTGGAAAATGGGAGTGATAAATAGTACCTCCCAGGCGTGGTTATCAAGTACACTAAACCAATTAGAACAGAGCCTGGCACAAACCTGGTAAAACACTCAATAGACTGTACTGATTATTATTATTGCTACTTATCTTTTCTCTACTGCTCTAACTTATGACACCCAAGTGTCCCAAAACCTAAAAAGCACAGCTGGTTTATTAGCCTAATTGAAGCTGCAGGTAATTTCACTCAAATTCTATTTCAGTTGGTTGCAATGGCACATTCCAATGGCTCTTCCTGGCGTGGGCAGAGCTGAAATGCTACTCTGCAATGTGGTCTGCAGGGTCATGCTGCTACCCGGTCATCTGCTACATAAGGCAGCACAGAGATTTCTTTTATAGGAATAAGTACATCTGAGCACATTCCAACAACTGTGTGCTTCCGCTTTTTGTGCCGGGAGGTGAGAGGGTTCACAGGGGAGAGAGGATACTCTGAGTCAGGATGCACAGGCGTGGGGCAGGTCACTGGGACTGTGCACACCGCAAAGCGTGAGGTCAGCGACAGCATGTGAGACAGATGTGCAGACTGGCACGAGGAGGGCGCGGCTCTGCCCACGAGCCACCCTCAGAACTGCCTCTCCCTCCAGCCCACTTTAAAGGGGCTGCAGTGATCAGCAGAGGCGGTCTCCGCCCCAGCCTTCCCTTTGTCTGCAGGCTCCTCGGCTGACCTGCTAATGAGGGGGGAAGTGTTCCAGTGCACCCAGCAGCCGAAGAAATGGGGGTGAGGGTTTGCGGAAGGAGTTCTTCAAATCTCTCAACGCTCTATGTCCAGGTTTATACAGCTTTCAGAAAATAAAAAAGGGCACAGTAATGTTCAGCGTATTTTCCTTAAGACATAGCTTGTAATTTCACAGACGCTTTACACTGATGCTTCAACACTTGAGAGGGCCAGGGAAGAGGCCACTGCTTTAAGAATCTGATAAAAACTACAGGCCTTCTCTTTGACCCTTAGAACACGGTTCATGCACATATATACTGACATTGCCCACGAAGGCATCACCAGTCTCCCACGGGCCAAGTGTGGAGGCCCTTGAGTGCAAGGGCCTGGCTATGAATTTCTTTCTAACTGCATTTTGTCCAGATTTTCAAAGGGCAGAAAAGACAATATTATAGCGTTAAGTCTGTTTAGCACAAAGCTTCAGGGCCAAGTACTTCAAGATCTACAAATACTTAAATGCAGGCAGCCTAGAAATCCTGAGAAAACCCCTGAGAAGTCAAATACTTCAGTCTTGTTTTCGATACGAGAATCGGTAGCACGCTTATTTGGTAACACGCCTACTTCATCAAGGGGCAGAAGTTTACAGGGCAAGGAGGTTGTGGCCCTAACTCTCCTGGTGGCCGGGCGCCACAGTCCTGGGGGTGCCGGTTGGGGTCGCCACGGGGCAGGGGTGGAAGGAGGCCGGCTGCACCCGCTGGTCAAGGAAGAAAGATCAAGTATCTCTGATGCCTAGCCAGCAGGTCAGGGAGATGCTGCTCAGAATGGCCAAAAGACTAGAGCTGGATTTTTTTAAAATTAAAGTGTTGTCCAATTTATCCTTTCTTAGAGCGTTGAAAGAACATGCAGACTCCACTGGACCTATAAACAATGAGGGAGAGGAAAGAGTTT